GATAGAAGAACTTCGTCTTTCTTCTTCTTCTTCCTGTAGTGAACTGAAGAAAAAGAAGGTGTCCGACTTGATATTTGAGATGTAGTCACTATTATACCATTAAATTACATTAATTCGATATTTTAAACAAAAGATTAAGATATACAAAAACTATACGAAAAATACTATAAATATGATGAAAAAATATATCGTAAAATGTTAGTCAAAATTCTTATAATACTTTCCACTACCATATTTTCCATTATTGTCCTTTATGAAATCATAAATATAACGTAATGCAATTTATGATTTTAGAAAATTTTAAACTTCATTAAAGGGAAGGAATGCCCAGATCATTTGGAAAAAAAAAAGATGCGTCAGTCATGCATCCTAATTGGTGAGCTTATACCGGCCATAATCCCTTCCCTGCTCTTAGTTTGCTTTAAAGGCACCATTTTTGCGAGTAAAAAGAACATGTGCTAACGTCGTAAAACACCATCATAATCTACTCTGGAAAAAAAAAATCAATCAACTTTAATCCACATCCATTATTGTCTTTCTACAATAATGGTATGGATTTGGTTGATGATCGAATCAACGGTTGATAATCAATGTTACCATTAATTAACATAGATGTCCAACATCTTAAACTTTGAACAATACAATTATTTTGAACGAAAAAATCTCAAAAATTCGGTAAACATGAATAGAGGGAGTATAACACAATAAGATATTAATAAAAGGGAAAAGGGTTAAAAATGCCCTTAACGTATTCCAAATGGTTCAAAAATGCCCTCCTTCCACCTTTTGGTTTAAAAATGCCCTCAACGTTTTTTTAAGGTTTAAAATTGCCCTTTTTTAACAGCCGGCTGACATGGCAAATGCTGAGTCATTAAATTAGACAAATGGCTTCATCTTATTGGTCCACCTATTTTTTTAAATCCATCCCAACGACCCGACCCATCTATACTAAAAAAGACAAAAACCCACCCACAAACCCATTTACACATTAACCTAACATATCCTTGAACTCCATTTTAGCACGATTCTCAACCATTTTTTTTGTAGCAGCCGCCGAGGATGAAGGTTTAGGGTTGCAAATCACAACACCTTCAATTTGTTCTTCAGTTGACTAAGGTAATGTTTTGCTCTTTTACATTACAGAGTATTTGAGTATATGTTAAAAATCATGTATTTTGAATCTTTTCATGCTTTGTTTACGTTGTGTTAGTTGCAGTGGTCCATGCCCCTTTTCTTTTATTTGTCTCTGTTTTCATTAATTTAGAGTTTTTAACTGCTAGTGGGGGTCCATGTCTTTTCTCGATGATATGCTTTATTTATACATATTATATTTTATATTTTATTACACTGAGTATTGTCTGATGTGGGCTCTCTTCTTTTTTTGTTGTGTTGCATATTGACTCGATTCAAGAATGGTTGAACATGTTGATCTGATTTTTAATTATGGGGGACAATGGTTTCGAAAACCACAACTGGTATACCATAAAAAATTGATTCACGTATGGAGAGGTTACGAAGTTGACTTGCTGTCTTACATTGATGTATGTCGAGAATTTAAAGAAAAATTAGCTTTTAGTGAAGTACGACAGCTTCTATTTACAGCCCCATCTGGTGGTTTCTATGTGATCGAAGGGGATGAAGGCATTAGAACTCTTCAGAATTTATTATCTGACAATTTCAAGGTAGTGAACTTTTTTGCAGTAGATAACTATGAAGAGGAGCTTGGGTTAGTTCCAAACATCATTCATTACCATAAATGTGACAATGTTATAGAAGTTGGAACAGATTGTGATAGTAGTGAGGAAGAGGAAAATGGTGAAACTGTGTCTAGCGAATACGATAGTGAAGAGTTGGAGAGTTATAAAAAGCAAAAAGAACTTGATATCAATGAAAAATTAGACAAGTACAAGGATTTGGAGTATGGTATGACCTTTAGCAATCTCAAGGAAGCTAAACAAGTTATAGACTTCTATGCTGTTGCAAATAAGAGGGATATTAGAGTAAAGAAAAGTGACAAAGGTAGAGTTACTTATTGTTGTGTTCTTGATTGTCCCTTTCGATGCTCGATTTACAAGGATGGGAAAGATCAAGGTTTTAAGATCAAGACCTTAAATCAAGAACACACATGTTATGAGACTTCTGAGAACAGGAGAGCTAAAGCTGGGATTTTATCTCAATATTTTAAGAAGAAAGTTCAGAATAATCCTGCATTAAAGATTAAAGACATGAAGGAGCACTTGGATTCTGTTTTGGATCTTGAAGTGAATGAGTCAAAATTGAAGAGAGTTAAGAGGCTTGTCTTAGACAAATTAGATGGTAGTTACGCGGATGATTATAACAAGTTGGAGGCATACGCACAAGAATTGAGGATGAGTAATCCAGGAACTGATGTAGTGATCAATTTGTCAAGAGATGCTATGGAAGAAGGCAAAAGAAGATTTTTAAGGCTGTATATATGCTTTCAGGCATTAAAGGAAGGCTGGAAAGGAGGTTTGCGACCTTTTATAGGGCTAGATGGCACCTTTTTAAAAGGAAAAAGTAAGGGAATAATGTTGGTCGCAATGGGACAAGATTCGAGTAACCATTTCTATCCACTTGCTTGGGCCGTAGTAGATAAAGAAACTAAAAGAACTTGGAACTGGTTTCTAGAGCTGCTGAAACATTCTTTGGATTTAAAGTCGGGTGAAAATGTCACTTTTATATCAGATATGCAAAAGGTATCTTTACTTTAAGTTCATTTCATCTTTTCTTAGCTAGTTTTCATGTACATTATTCTGCAACTAATCTGAATTTATGTTTTTGAAGGGTTTATTGAATGCTGTTACTAATGTATGCCCACAAGCAAATCATCGATGGTGTGTTAGGCATATTGAAACTAATTGGAGCAAAAATTACAGAAGTGGGGAGTTGAAAAAGCTTCTTTGGTGGTGTGCGTGGAGTACATATGAGGAGGAGTTCAAAGATCAGCTGACAAAAATGGGTGAGTTGAATAAGAAGGCTGCTAAGTCCTTGGTGAGCTATCTACCAGAAAAATGGTGTAGAGCATATTTTGACACCAAATGCAAAAATTTCATGGTTGACAACAACTTCACGGAGTCCTTCAACTCATGGATTGTAGAGGCCAGACAAAAACCAATCATAAAGATGCTTGAAGAAATAAGGGTGAAGGTTAGAAAATCTTACCTTTTTAAATTCCATAATATTTGATATGAACAAGTGTTAATTCTTTTAGATTTATGTATTAAGCTATTGGAATAAGTTCTAACTTGAAGAGGAAAAAGTGTTTAAAGCTACTGAAAAAGTTTTTAACTTGAGTTATAACAAGTGTTAAAAGTGTTATCATTTTGATTCCAGTAGCGTTTATGATGAAAAATTAATCCATTTGATCGCGCTTTTAATCTACTTTAAATCAAACTGCTAGTTTAGAGTAATAATCAGAATTTTAGATATTTGTTTTAAGGTGTTTTAAATTTCTGTTTTTTCAGTTCGTGCAACATTAGCTGGTTCATTTTTTTGTTTTCGATTATTGTTGTATAGGTAATGATCATGTTAAGGAAGCATGAGGCCGAAGTTAAAAGTTGGAAGAATGAGTTTTCACCACATGCAACGCATCTCTTTAATGACTACAAGATCATTGCCCAACGATGTAAGGTTGAGTTTAATGGGGGCTGTGGATATGAAGTGACCGAGGGTGTGGATAGACATACAATCAATATAGAACTTAAAAGATGCTCATGCAGAGTATGGGACTTATCTGGAATACCATGTCCTCATGCCATCAAAGCATTTATCTATAAAAAAATTGACCCTATTGCTGAAATACACTGGTGGTATTCTAAGGAAGCGTATTTGATGGTATATAAGCACAAGATCGAACCTGTTAGAGGTGAAATTTTTTGGAAGATAGAGCCGCACCATGCCATGAAGCCCTCTACTTTAGCTAAGATGGTTGGTAGACCAAAGATGAAGAGAACAAGAGAGAAGGATGAGGCTAAAAATAGGCAGGGGGTTTGGTCAGCTTCTAGAAAAGGAATGTTAATGACTTGTGGTTATTGTGGTAAACCAAATCATAACAAAAGAAAATGTCCATTGGTAACAATCGTAACTTCATAAATGTGTTCCCCTTTTATATCTAACGATCATCATTTAATTTTTTTTTCTTTATGCAGCTCAATGATAAACATGAGGACGTCTTCCAAGATGAAGAAAACTCTCAAGAATCTCATAATGTGCCCTTGACAGAATCAGAAAACAACTCAAGAAAGTGTATGTTTCTTCATTCTTGTTCCTGGTTCAAGTCAGATCTCTAGCCAGACCTCTATTGTAGCAGGGTATGATTCAGACCCTACTTTATATCCTAAAGTGGTGTCCGAAAGTAATTTTAGACTTCATGAAAGACTGAAGAAGATAAATACTGGGACAAGAAAGATAACGTTCCAAGGAGATCACGATGGTATATCAATACCGACCAACCTTCCATATTCACCAAAAAAAGTAACTTGGAAAGGGAAAGAAGCAATGACTTCGAACCAGTTACAAGCTACAAGGGAGAGAAAAATTGGCAAACTTAAGCCTATAGGGGGCAAGGGGATGTAGGATTTGTTTTGTATTTACTGTCTTAAAGTGTTATGTAAGGAGAAAATGAAACAATGACTCCAAACAACTAGTGTTTTTGCTGATTTTTGTACTCTTAATGATTGTTACACAACTATCGTAATGACTCTAAACAACTGATTCTTTTGCTGATTTTTGTACTCTTAATAGTTGTTAGACAACAATCGTAATGACTCCAAAGAGCTACCTTTCTAATATCAATATTGTTTAATTGTGACAGTTGTAGATTTGGTTTAGTTGTGTGTATTGTTGATTTGGTTTACTTGTCAAAAGTTTATTTTAGTATTATTATGTTATGTGGTTGAAAGTTGCGGAGAACTTAAACAATTAGGCAACCAACACTTTGTTCTTTGTTCTCCTTGTAATTCTCCTTTTTATGGCTGCTCGGTGATAGAAGGTGCATCAGTCAACTGATAATACATCACGTAAGCCATATAATGTTGATCAAGACTTTGAGGCTCCTTTGGTAATAGTATGATCCAAGAATGAATCTGTCAACATTAGATGAAATCAAGATTTTACCAGTGAAACATCTCCTCCTCTGTCAAAGTTTAAGCTATTATAAAAGCCCACAATGTAAAGATGAACATTATTCAACCATGTGAGGATACATTTGAGCCAACTTGAACCCAACCATTCCTCCATAACTTAGCCCAACAACAGAAAACTTTTCCACACCCAACTTCATCATTCCCTTTGCTAAACATTCCGCCTATTAATTAATTAATTAATTAATCCATAGTTAAAAATATTGTACATATTAACAAACCGTTTAAATTTTTAGATAAGATGATATTTACCTGAATACTTGTTGATCGTTCAGGACGAGTAGTGACGGAATCTCCGAAGAAAAGTAAATCAGGGACGTAGACAGCGAAATCTGAACTTAAGGAGAGTATTTGAAAAAGCCATGTCATAATTCCATTGGCAACAAATCCATGAACAAATAAAACTGGAGGTTTATTTGATAATTTGTTGTTTGGATGAATGGATTCAGTTGGAACCCAAAAGTGCATTGTAGTTCCTAGTTCTATTTCCACTAACTGGGATGTCATTCCAACAGCTTTCATTAAACCATGAATAATTGGCTTCAAAATTACAAATGTATGAATTTTAAGCCTAAGAATTAGTTGTCCAGGATGATTTAAAATCCTAAGTTTCAAGATAGTTTCTTGCCAAGCAAATTGAATTCAAGAACTTGCTTACAACAGAACTAAGAAAACCTGCAGAAATTCACGTCATAGTCAAGTTTGTAGTGCAGCCATGTGCAAAAACATCAACTTGACAAATCTTGATGTAGTTTCTCCATATTTTTCTTCCTGCAATTACCTAGAGAATGGAAAACATATGAATTGAAGGAGAAGAAAGAAGAGAACTAGAGCTAATGGAAACAAAAGACCCAAAAACGATGGGTCAAATTTTTCGAAATGGGTTTTTAGACTAAGTGGGTCATATATTTTGAAATGGGTAAAGAAAATCCATGTCACATTTGCCATGTCAGCCGGCTGTTAAAAAAAGGCAATTTTAAATCTTAAAAAAACGTTGAGGGCATTTTTAAACCAAAAGGTGGAAGGAGGGCATTTTTGAACCATTTGGAATACGTTAAGGGCATTTTTAACCCTTTTCCCTTAATAAAATACAGAAACAATACCGACAAATGGCAATCATCCAAATAGAACATAAATGTTATATGATTGGTTAATTAGATACTGTCTCAAATCAAATGAGTTCATTAATGGCAAATTTTCCAGATGCTGGAAGTTTTACTTTGAGGGCTCAAAGTAGCAGTAAATAGAGGAGGGGAATGAAGATCGAAGAAGAAGAGCAGAGAAAGTTGAGTAGAATGTAACTTTATATCCTAATATTTGAGTCAGCTTTCACGCATTTGAATTTATTTCACGAGATACGTATTACGTCCCACCAACAATATGTAGCAGGAACTCGGTCTACAAGACCTAAAAAAAGATGAAAAGAATGCCTAGTGTTTTGGCTCTGAACCACTTGCCACTAGGCCGCACTCTACAACTGAGAATCTATACGTAGATCACTGTTTAATGGTAATGTAATTGCTGCCAACAAGTTGAGCTAGCAATTTTTAGGTGCCGACGGCTGATCCTGCTGACTGCGCTGTGGCCGACGATCTAATGGAGAAAGTTGATTCTTGCTGAATAGGTCAGAAATCAGAAATATTTAAAGGTAAAATCTGAAACAGTGAAGTAATTTTGTCGTAATCAAGTCAACAGTTCAAGCAGTCAATGCTTTTAACTATTAAATAAATTTGGGGATTTCAGTTCATAGGGAAAGGAAAGGGAGGATCGAATATTTGGCGCCTTCAATCAGAAGGAAGGCATTGATCCAGAGTTTTTTTTTTTTAACATACTACAGACGGTTGCCGGAAATATAGTACCCATGGCTTGTTACGCGGCGAGTGAAAAGGGCGGCGACGTGTTTTTCCCAATTCCGGCACGTTCAGTTCGTCGGTCTTTGCGCTTGCCCATGTTCGTACTTGTATTTACTTTGTTGCTAAATAGCAGCTGTGTTTCTTCATACTCATCAGGATACTGGGATTTTACCTGCAACAATTCCACAGATATGGTACGCTTTCTCTTGGACTATTTTAACTTTCTAAGCTTCTAGTACAAGTAATGTGGTTCTGTGTTATCGCTGTGCTGTTAGATAATACTAGAGAGGAATGCAGCAAAGTTTTTGTTAGCACATTTCGTTTCCATTGCTGGCTTGAGTAGAGGCTATTGTGTAGTCAATAACATAAATTAGAAAATCCTACTAATCCATTATGAACTTTTGTAAATAATAAATGAAGAATCTCATCTCCAGCTTGTTATTGAGAAGATTAAACGCCCAAAGATACTATCACTAGTGAAGTGGTCGATGCGGGTTATATCCGTTTCCTGAACTATCATTTGTGGAGCAGTTAAGGTTTTATGGACTATACTGCTTTCTGTCTAATTATCTGACCATTAATCAGGAAAGAGGGAAGTTGGGTCCCCAAAACCCCGGTGTATGCTCAGGAAAGGCCACACATCTTCCAGTTTGTGAATGTGGATTCAAAATGTTGGACTCTTGCTTCTTGAATAAGAACAAGGTACTGTCGTGACAGTTTAATTATTCTGGTTATCCTTCGTGCTCTGAACTAGAATATAAAGCAAGACTATATTTAGCTATTCTGTTCATTCTTTTCAGATGCTTGAAATCGAAAAGGGAGCAAATGACCTTAACATACCCATAATCAGATCCAACCGAAAGTTAGTTGCCTCTATTGATGGAGGTCTGCATAAACCGTCTTGTTTAGTCTTCAATTCTGCATGGAAGGCCCGACAACTAGAACATGAACCAAACAAAAAGCTCAATTATCCATCACCTGCTGGTATACAAAGACCAAAAAGTGACGAGGATATCGCATTCATGAGTGTAAGTGCTCCGTGTTATTCCCTTTAGATCTATATATCAGGACTTATGTGCTCAAATTTATGGCATTTTCCGTCTACTCATACACCTATACTTTCATTTCAGATTCTTGAACTTGGTCAGCTTCTCAAGGCAAATTTAATCACATCAGTGGAGCTGACTGGAATTTTCTTGAAGAGACTGAAGAGGTGTTAGAACTAGTGTTTGCTTTCAATTATTTCTTGTTATTGATTATCTAGTCCTCATAATGATGCATCTACTGGGGATGTCGCAGGTATGGTCCTGTTCTTGAATCGGTCGTTACAATTACTGAAGAATTAGCATACAAACAAGCAAAAGAGGCTGATCAACTGCTTGCTGAAGGCAAATATTTAGGTAACAGTCTGCCAAATTCCTCTCCACTAACCTCTTTCACGTATTTCCTATTTACATTCATAATTTTGGATTTTCCGTCAATCATCACTGAACTATGCCTCAGTAATAATGAATTCTCCATATCCATTCCGCTCTATTCAAAATTTTGGATTTTCTATATGAGTTTTTATTTATACATCTGGAGTGAGGGGATTTTGTGGGGAAGAGACGAAATAGGAATTTGGTTTTAAATCTCCATAGATGTCATGGACCCAGGACCTTTACATCTGAAAAAAGTAGTGGTATACATCCAACTTCTCCATAAAGAAATATAAAATGTGAGCATAGTAAGTACCATGGAAGGAAATTTTTATATGTTTATTTTTTTTTTGATGAAGTAAGTAGATTCATTTCAAGGCATCAAGAAGATGCAAGCTTTACAAGGATAGATCAGTTAAGCTCACAAAAAAAAAGGATTTGTAGCCTCTTCCTAAGCTATAGAGCTAACAAAATCCAAGAAGAGTTCTAAATTATTTACAGGGGTCAGTTTGGACCAACTAAAAAGGCTAACTAGACATCTGCCTCGCAAAAGATTTCTAGAAGTTGAAATTCCATCAAAACATCTTTTGTTCCTCTCTGTCCATAAACACCAAAAGATAACACCAGGGATCATCATCGACATACTCTTGATGGCTTTCTCAACATCCCGTGAACTCCAACTTTCAAGAGCATCCCTAACAGAGAAAGGCATGACCCAGGAAAGACCAAAAAAGCAACAAAACATATTCCAGAGGTCTGAGGC